AATTTGCCTGATCACAAGAGCAGAAACACATGCCCACACGTCTCCATGTACGCAACAGCAAGAAGCCGGACCTGCCGTCACAGGTTTGGATCGGCAGCACCGCTCCAACTAAATTTCAATTCTCTGATCACATTAGGTGCTCTGGACACAACAGAATTAGAGAGCTTATTCTTGGTGGTGTCCTCAGTTCTTTAAAAAGAGCTCTAAGGACTGCAGGTTTATTCATTCTTGGTGTCACTGTGGACACAATGCTCCACTGATGATGCGACAAACAGTGAATGTCACCAAACACTCCCCAGGTCCATCACATTAGAAACAGAAAAGTCAAAATGAGTGACAGTTATGGACAGCGTAAGCTATTTGATGAAAAACCAAATTGCCTTGCCTATGTCCATAATGAAATTAGAGCTTTCTTTCCTATGAAAAAAAGTCTATACCTAATATGTCAAATTATATGAACCTACAAATTTAAATTGATGGATGGGGCTTCCCTGATGGCACAGTGGTTAAGAATCCGCCTGCCAACGCAGGGGACACGGGTTTGAGCCCTGGTCCGGGAAGATCCCACATGCTGCAGAGCAACTAAGCCCGTGTGCCACAACTACTGAGCCTGCGCTCTAGAGCCCTCAAGCCACAACTACTGAGCCCGCGTGCCACAACTACTGAAGCCTGCGCGCCTAGAGCCCATGCTCCGCAACAAGAGAAACCACCACAATGAGAAGACCGCGCACCACAACAAAGAGTAGCCCCTGCTCGCCGCAGCTAGAGAAAGCCCACGCGCAGCAACGAAGACCCAAGGCAGCCAAAAATAAATAAATAAATTTTATAAATAAATAGACGGATGAATCACAAATTCAGCTCAATTTCCTTTTTTATAAAATATATTGCCTTTTGGTTCGATGATAATATCAAAACTTAAAACGTTTTCATTTTCCAGTTACTTCACCCAAATGCTTAACACACTCTTTATCAAAGTGTATCAACCATAAAATTTTAAAAGTCTGTATGAATTGCATACTCTGACTTTCTAAGTATTTTACAATTTATACATATCTGTTGCTAATAAAAATGAGGAAAACATCCTTATAATATTGAATATAATAAAATGTACCTCCTGTGATCACAGCAAAGGGAATATTCAAAAATATAGATAACATCGTAGTGGAATTTTAAATACTTTCTTAAGATATCGTTTACAAGCAATAAATTATGCATGCTTAAAGTGTACAATTTTCTGCATTTGAATGCAAGTATGCACCGACGACACAACCACGACCAAGGGGTGGACATTTCTAGCAGTCCTCTGCACGCCCCTCACCGACACTAGCCTCTGTCACAGCTGACCCACTCTCCTGGAATCCAGGTAATGCCATCACATACCACATACTCGTTGTTTGGCTTTTCTTTCAGAAAAATTCTAATATAGTATCTTAACAATGCACTTCTTTTCTAACACTCTCAGCGAATTAAATCTGCTACAAAGGATTATTCTGTGCAGCTGCTTCCCAGTGTCCCCTGGAGCACCTGTGACTGCTGGAAGTGAGGTGCAGAGGGACAGACTCCGAGGTGCGGCCTCCAAGCCTGATGGCAAACAGAAACGCTCCGGTCACTTGGGGTTCGTGACCTTTCCTCCCCCTTCAATCCTGGAGAGACCACTTGAGGACGCGCACTGGAAAAACGAGAAAGCACACAGAGGAGGAAAAAGGCAAGCGTGCGAGAGCAGTGGGAGTCCAGCAACGGGCTCAAAGCACGTTAGAAAGTCAACAGGCTCCACAACTGTCTCACGATGAAAACTAACCATTTTAACAAGTAGCGTGAGAACTGCAAGCTGGGTGTCTTCAGGGACAAGGCGACGGCACAGCTTTATCTCACCATGCAAAAGAAGGAAGAGCACCCAGAAAACACTGGGAGTCTGAGTGAGGCTGGAGAGAGCAGAGAGGAGGAGCCTGGGCAGAGAAAACTGCGGCCCAGCTGCAGGCTCTAGTAACAAGGACTTACTCGACCTCACTCATAAATCTATCGTTCAGCCACACAGATTTCATGATGTGATTGAACTCTCTTCTCTAAGGGTCCATGTGCAGGGAACATTTTAATAATTATAAGACAGTAAGTGCTAATGGCCAGCCTCTCACTTTTAGACTACCCGCTGACAAACACTGACAGTGGTTAAGATGATAAATGAACACTGGTGGGAGAACAGCCTTCTGGCACAACACAAAACCCACAAACAAAAAGGAAAACGTATAAATATTTACCTAAACAAAAGTTAATTTTAATATTTACCTAAACAAAGTTATATGGCAGAAGGTATTTTAAAGTGAAAAGTCAGGAAACAGGCTGGGGGAATAGGTTTGCGACACGTACTCACTCGGCAAAGGTTTGGAGAACCCTGCACACTCATAAACTGAGGGCGAGAGTTTAAAACTGGAACCTTCCACGGCAATTTTAAAATTGTGCTAAAACAGTGAGCTATTCAGCAAACGGTACTGCTGCGACTAACCAGCAGGTTGTTTTACATTTTATTTCCTACTCAGAGCTCGACTCCAAACAAATGCTAGCTGGACTGGAGAGTTCACATGTAAAGCAGGAGTGATTTTAAAGTAACCATTTAAAACATAGTCATGGAGCGGAAACGGTCTAAGCATAAAACCAAAAGCAGTAACTATTTATTTTTTTTTTAATATTTTTATTGAAATATACTTGACATATAACATTGTGTAAATTTAAGGTGTACAAGTCAGTTTGATGCATTTACGTATTGTAATATGATCATCACCATAGTAATAATTAGCACTTCTATCACATTACATAAGTAACTATTTTAAAGACTATTTTAAAATTACTGTTAGGTCACCTTATATAAGGATGCTAAACTTTTATACGGACAACAGAAACTATAAATGAAAATATTTAGAAGAGATTAAAACAAATGAATGAAAGATGATTAGCAAACTATATATAAATACCTCTTTAAAAACATAACGGGGGCTTCCCTGGTGGCGCAGTGGTTGAGAGTCCGCCTGCCGATGCAGGGAACACAGGTTCGAGCCCCGGTCCGGGAAGATCCCACGTGCCACGGAGCAGCTAGGCCCGTGAGCCATGGCCACCCCAACAAAGTTTAAGAACAACTCTTGGAACGATCAAGTTTATCCACAAGTTACTGAACTGAGAAAATCAAGATCAATAGGTTTTGAAGGAAGAAAAAAATATAGTATTTACAATATCCAGCATCCAACTAAAAATTACCAGCTGTGCAAGGAAGCAGGAAAGTGTGATCTGTAACAAGGAGAATATTTTTTTAAGAAGAAACATACCCAAAATAACAGAGACAATAGCATTAACAGATGAAGAATAAGTGTTATCAACTGCTGAAAGATTTAAATGAAACTATGAACATATTAGGAAAGAAAAGTATTCAAACAATAACAAAAATGGGTGACCAGGTGGAACCTGGTTCCAGAGATTAAAAATACAAGATTTGGAATAAAAAAATTAGCTGGGTGGTCTTAACAGAAGACTAGACACTGCATAAGATAAAATTAGTGAATTTAAAGACAGAGCAAAATGAGAATTCCCTGATGCTCCAGTGGTTAGGACTCCATGCTCTCACTGCTGAGGGCCCGGGTTCAATCCCTGGTCAGGGAACTAAAATCCCAAAAGCTGTGCAGCTAAAAAAAAAAAGAAAAAAAAAGACAGAGCAACAGAAACTGTCAAAATTGAGTCACAGAAAGAGAACAAGAGTGAGGAGAGCAGCAGAAGCTCGACACCTGCAGGAACATCAAGTCTAACACACTTGTCGCTCGTGTCCCAGAGAGAGGGGTCTGGGCAGAAAGGAGGATGGAAAAGAGAAGAAAACCATGAACCCACAGATCCAAGAAACCCAACAAACTCTAAGCAAGGAATGAATTTCAACCTAGGTACTACCTAAAGTACAGGCAATGGAAAATACCTAAAGAAACAAAATATTGCCAAGTCTTATACATGTCAAACAGCTTTAGTTTCCAAAAAGTGCAATATTTACAATAAGGAAGGTTCCTGCTATTCACAGTAATTAACTGTAAGCTATGTGCAGTAGCTATTCCTATCAAATCCAACCCACCTAAGGAAAGTGACCAAACCCAGAGGATTCAATTTCCTTTCCCTTAACCAACAACTGCTTGGGTCCAAGGTCATTCTGAAGACACCTCAATCTTTCTTTACTCTCCAGTGAATATCAGCAAATCATGTAAGATAAAGCGTCTCTCATTCAGATAAATCATACGTATAACACAAAACAAACACCAAATGACCACAACCGTGATTTTGATTAAAAAAAAAAAAAAAAAAAAAGATGTATAGCAGTTTAGGAGATTCTGAGCACTCGTGAGAGATGTGTTTCAGAGATCACTAAAAACACTGAAATCCGTAAGTACTGTGCCCTCTGGTCCCACCTCTTGCCCGTTCCCCAGGCAGCAAAGGCCAAGAAAGAAGTCCAAAGGTGTCTTTCCCCTTCTCACTCTGCCAAGACACACAGGAACACTTCACTTCCCCCTCCCTAGAGAGGGCTCTCCACCTTCAAAGGGAAAAGCTGAAGTGGACAGGCTGGTGTCCAAGGCTGGGCTAAGCCCTTGTGAGTTCTACCAAAGCAGTATCTGAACAGCCTCCTGGGAGTCAGTCAGCTACCAAAAATGGATGTAGCTAATAACCCCACCAAGAGTTCTCGATTTCAAAGATTACTCAAATGAGGGGCATTTTAAAAATAGAAACAAAAAGGAAAGAGAAAGAAAAGAAAGAAAACCTAAGAGTCAAGCCAAAAGGAACATTTAAAACTACACCTCAAAAAGGTTATGTGCTAAGACACCAGAGAAATTACGTGGGCATAATTTTCAATGAACTTAGTAACGAAGAAATTATTTTAAAACATTATCAACGCATTAATTAAGTTGGTATAAACAGAACTGTACTTACTGCACAGAAATGGCCACTACAGTAAATGATGGAATATTGACAGCAACACTCACCCCCAGAGCCGGCAGCCTCTGCGTGCAGCTCACCGCCACTTTCAGCTTCCAGTCAGTTTCACCATCGAGTTGATCAGTTCGAATAAAACATGAACCTTGGAATAAGAGGAGAAAAACTCCTAAGTTACAGGTACTTTAAAGCCACAATTCACAGCACAGTAGGATACAGAAATGATGTATCTACAGATTCCCATTAACAAAAATCCTTAAAAGTACTATTCATTTGACTCACAAAATGAGTCTGCTGAAAAGACAGAGGTCATTAATTGTTTATTCAATTATCTCCTAGTTGGTGTTCTAGACTATTAAGGTTTACTAGTAATAAAGGTTTACTTTATTTTAGAAAGACTACATTGATCATTTCTACCTTTAGCTTATGTCTTGATAATAACACAGTAATAAGTGAATATACAAAAATACCCAAGAGTGTGTGATATAACTTTGCTAATAAAATATATGTACCACTATAAAACATATGCTCAATAATAAAAGCACAGCTAAAATGTTAAAGCCTGAAAAGAGCTACTGTCATACTCACAACCCCATCGCATTTTAAACATAAAAAACATTAAATTACAAAAGTCCATTTACTCTTTGCCTATGCCGTCATACCATTTCTTATAACGTATCCTCTTACACAACAGCAAAGCACAAAACACATACATACAGGGCAACTGTGCAACATTATTAATCATAACCAAAGGAGCGGGAACACAAAATCAGGGAATCAGCTGAATACAAGGGAGCACATGCAGCAGTGAGGAAAAAAAAAAAAAAAAAAAAGAAAGGAAGGAAGGAAAAAGAAACAGAAAGGAAAAAGAAAAAGAGATGAGAAAGGCCTCCATTTCTACTGAGAAATCTCTCTAGGATATATACCATCTAATGAAAAAGGCCAGGTGCACAACACTGGGAACAAAGTAACACCAGCTACTGGAGAACAAGGTGGGGAAAGCGTGAGTGTGTGTGTCTGTATGCGCGTGTGCAGGGAGGGACACTACCCACAGGAAGGAAGGGGAAAGGGGAGGCACGGACCAGAAGCAACACCTTTGGGAGTGCATCTTAGTGCAAGAGAGTTACACTGTTCACTCTGAGATCATACATGATTCACATAATTAAAAAGCCAAATCACATCAAAGTTTAAAAAAGTGACTCCGAAAATATAAAAGGAATCAGATAAAACAAAGTAACAAATTAGTAGTTTAAGTTTAACCACATAATGAATTCAAGTGACTTTTGAGGTTTTTCAAAAATTTAACTGTAAAATAAAATAGTTATAGAAAGCCACACAAGCATATGTACACCTTAGAAATTACTACAAGATAAATATCTTGTGCACAACTGTGAGACCCCTTAGGAGATGCTGCATGTGCCCCAACCTCATTGCAGCCCCTTCCCTGCTTGTAAAGCAGCAGGACTGTCAGCTGTACGTCCCTGTGCAGATATACATCCTTAGCACCACTGCAGAGCCCACTCTGGGAATGTCTGTAAAGTCACTTTTCACCCCAGGCCCTCCCCACCCCTCCTTCCAATCTGTCTGCTGAAAGGCTGGTGCTGCGTGTTGCTGACTGAACACTGAGGGTCCAGGCCAGCCTGCTCCCCTTCCCTCTGCGGGTCCTACGATGCTGGCTCCTGCACACAGAGCCCAGCTCAGACTCCACTGACCCTCAGCAATGCTGCCCTGTTCTGTCCAGAGGTACAATGGCCTGCTCTTCTCTGATGTCAACAGCCCTTCATGCTTAATGCCCACTAGAGGTACCCGTTACTGCACCAGAGGGTGCAGAAGGCAGCAGTCTATCCTTTTTCACCTTTTACCTGGAATAAAATGTAAAAGGAGAGGCCTCTGCTCTTTGGATCCAGTTGGCTCACCTGGTGGGAAAGTTCCTATAAGAAAGCACTGACTCCTGTTGTTATCTACCCACATTTCAAGGCAATGAACTAGTACCCTGCCATCCTCAGAAGGAGACCAATTAGGTATGTGTGCGTGCGTGCGTGCATGCGTGTGTGTGTTTGTTTGTGTGTGCTGAATGAGCTCCAGTACTTGAGGAGTTTCACTCCAATGCCATTACTATTATTATAGAGTCTCCAGCTGTCCCACCACTGGGGGACAATCTCCAGAGTTACCACATTATTAGATTGAAATGTCCAGTGTTCAAAAAAAAAAAAACCAAAAACAAAAACAGGAGAGTGGGCTTCCCTGGTGGCGCGGTGGCTGCAGGTCCGCCTGCCGATGCGGGGGACGCGGGTTCGTGCCCCGGTCCAGGAGCATCCCGCGTGCCACGGAGTGGCTGCGCCCGTGGGCCGTGGCCACTGGGCCTGCGCGTCCAAAGCCTGTTGCTCCACGGTGGGAGAGGCCGCAGCAGTGAGAGGCTGGGGGGCCACAAAAAAAAAAAAAAAAAAAAAAAAAAACCCGGAGGGGTATGGCCACTTAATGGAAAAAACTTAACAGAGACTGTCCTCAAAAAAGACCTGACGGTAGTTCTAGTAAACAAGGACTTTAAAGCAACTGTCTAAAAAGATGCTCAAAGAACTAAAGAAAGATGTGGAGAAAGTCAAGAACACAATGTGTAAACAAAATGGAGATATCGATAAAGAGAGAGAAAACCCAAAAAGAAATGAAAAAGAAATTCAAGGGCAATGAAAATTTCACTAGAGGAAGTCAAGGGCAGATTTGAGCAGGCATAGCAAAGAATGAGCAAGCTTGAAGATAGGACAATGGAACTGACCCAACCTGAGGAACAGAAGGACAAAGATGGGGAAAAAAGTGAACAGAGACAAATGGACCCATAGGACACTGTCACGTGGAACAACATATGCACTGTGGGAGGCCCAGAAGGACAAGACAAAGAAGGAACAGAGAGAATATCTGAATAATGGCTGAAAACTTCCCAGATTTGATGAAAGACATGAATATAAACTCCCAAGGACCCCAACAAAATCCAAGCACAGACATACATTCTTCTGTTGCACTTTTCAGACGCTACGTTTTTTTACAGATTGGAAGTGTGTGGCAACCCTGCATCAAGCAAGTCTATCAGGGCCATTTTTGCCAAGAGCATTTGCTCTATTTGCATCTCCTTGTCACATTTTGGTAATTCTTGTAATATTTCAAACTTTTTATTATTGTTATATTTGTTACAATGATCTGTGATCATTGTTCTTTGATTTTACTATTGTAGTAAAATTGTTACTACAAAGACAAAAATTATTGTTTTTGTTTTGTATTTTTTAATTAAGGTTGTACTTTTTTTTAGACATAATGCTACTGCACACTTAATAGACTGAAGTATAGTGTAAACGTAACTTTTACATGTACCAGGAAACCAAAAAATTTGTGTGACTCCCTTTATTGTGATAGTCACTCTGTTGCCATGGTCTGGAGCCAAACCTGCAACATCTCTGAAGTATGCCTGTAAAATGAACTCAAACAGACCCACACCAAGACACATTATAATCAAACTTTCAAAAGACAAAGAGAATCTTGAAAACTGCAAGAGAAAAGAGAATCATCATATACAAGGGATCCTCAGTAAGATAACCACCAGATTGCTCATCAGAAAGAGACGGCATTTCTATGGAAGCCAGAAGGCAGCGAACCAATCAACTCAAAGTGCTAAAAGAAAAAGACTGCCACCAAATATCTTCAATCCAGCAAAACCGCCCTTTGAATGTGAGGGAGAAATCAAGACATTCTCAAGTGAACAAAAGCTGAGGAAGCTGGTGACCACTAGACCCACCCTGCAAGCAGTGTTCAAGGCAGTCTGGTAGGTGAAATGAAAGGCCCATAGACAGTAACTTGAAGCTGTGTGGAGAAATAAAGATCTCAGTGCAGGTTATTAATGCATGGCAATTATAAAAGCTATAATATTATTGTAAGAATGGTTTGAACTGCACTTTTTCTACACGATTTAAGAGATTAATAAATTTAAAGAAAAGAAACTATTAGTCTAAAAGCCAGAATTACTGTAACTTTGCTTTGTAACTTCTAATCTTGTTTTCTACATAATTTAAGAGGTTAATGCATTTAAAATAATTATTAGTTTATGTCTGGGGAACACAGTGTATGAAGATGTAATTCTGTGACATCAACAACTGAAAGGATGGGGATAGAACTATAAAGGAGCAGAGTTCCTATATGTTATTGAAGTTAAGTTGGTATCAATTTAAATTAGAGTTTTTTACCTTTAGGATATTAAATGTAACTCCCTTGGCAACCACAAAGAAAATAGCTATAGAATATACACAAAAGGGAATGAGAAAGGAATTTAAATATTTTACTACGAAATATCAACCAGAAAAGACAGTGATGTAGGAAATGAAGGACCCCCCCCCCAAAAAAAAAAAGCTATAAGGCATGAGGAAAACAAAGCACAATGAAAGAAGTTGCTCCTTATCAGCATATCAGCAATGACTTTAAATGTAAATAGGTAAATAGGTAAACATTATTCAGACTCCTACCAAAGACAGAGACTGGCAGAATGGACAAAGGCGTGATGCAAGCACATGCTGTCTGCAAGAGACTCACTTTAGATACAAAGATACAAAGAAGCTGGAAGTGAAAGGATGGAAGAAGGTATTCAATGCAAAACAGTACAGCAGTTTCTGAAAAAGTTTTTTAAAGAATTACCATATGACCTAGCAATTCCACTTCTGGGTGTAGGCCCAAAAGAACTGAAAGCAAGGTCTGAAAGAGACACTGTGCACTCATGTTCATAGCCGTATTATTCACAATAAATAAAACATGGAAGTAACCCAAGTGTCCACTGATGGATGAATAGATAAGGAAAATGTTGTATACACATACAATAAAGTATTATTCAGACTTAAAAAGGACAGAAATTTTACAATACGCTACAACATGGCTGAACCTTTAGGACATTACACTCAGTGAAATAAGCCAGTCACAGAAAGACAAATACTGTATGAATCCAGTTACCTGAGGGTCTTGGATTGTCCAATTCATAGACAGAAAGTAGAACGGTGGCACCAGGGCTAGGGGTTATATGTACTTTATGTTACGTGTTTGAACACAGTAAAAAAGAAAAAAAATAAATTCACTTCAAAAGTAAAACCATTCACCAACCTTGAAAAAAAATTA